AACTTCAGTAGCTTTTCCAGTCTGAAAATTAATTTAGTAGGTGCATTGGGGAGGTCAATTTTGAAATTACTCACTACTTTTCAAAAGCATCGAGAAAAAATTTTTTTAGAAAATCGAATTTTGATGTTGGTGTAACTCTAAAATAAATTACTGTTAATCCATAAAATTGTCATTGAATGTTTATACTACCATTTTCTATAATTGATAAAATTTTCAAAATRTTTCAAATCTTTTAAAGTTATTTATAGACATTTGAAATGTTCAATATTTTTAGTTTATTTCTTTTTTATAAATGAGAATAAAATTGTATTCGGTCGATAAAAAAGTTTAAAAATTTAATTCAAGGCTTCTAATATATTTTTRCAATGGTAGTTAAAAAATATCAAAAATACATATCCACAATTTTTTTTAATAAGCATTTAAAGTTCGGATTTTGACAAAATMCGTAAAAATCACAAAAATTTCAATTTAGTTTGAGTTAGAAATTGATATTTTTAAATCTAAGATTTGAAAATTCAATACAAGATTCTTCATAAGTTTGTTTACTTTTATCAAATGAAAAATGTCAACTGGAAAGTCAAATTAAATTTTATGAGCAAGTTAATTACAACATGGATATTCACTCAATTTCTCTAATACTTGCAGTATACTTATTTTGTTGTTATTCAAAAACGAATAATTCTAGAAATTTAAATTCACACCATATATATTCACACACACATAAGGAATTTGAGGATAATAAAACATGTGAGAAATTCGATCTCAAGTAGTCTTAACAAAAAATTTAAATCYGTTTTTAGACGTACTATCGCTTTATTAGATCAATATTGGTGCGCGTTTGGCAAAGAACACGTCTATAATTTATTATGTCGGATCAGTCTGATTCATAAAATATATTTTTTAAGGCAGACCAATTTTAACCAAGTTCCCCAACGTTCTATATAAGCCCGAACCAGCCCAGCTCGGATTTTTATATTTTTTTAAAACCAACCCACGTTTATAAGGTGTTAATAAAAACCCKAACCACGACAAATATGCTCATTTAGAACCAATTTCAGATCTTCTACATTAATCAAATTTATTAGAAAAGAAATGAAAATATGTCATTTAAATTTCGTATCGAATCAGTCGAATGCTTCTTCAACGAATGAAAAAAATTAAATGAAACAATTTTAATACGAACATGATTATATTTATAAATAAATAAATTGAAAAATAATACTAATTTTCCAAGTATATAAATCGAYTAAAACCCAGACCAAAGTCATATCTATTTATTCCATTTTTTACATAAAAATACCAGACCGGACCATACCCGTTATATTAAAAAATGTTTTAACTAAGCCTAACCAATTTAAATATGACTGTGCTCCAAACCGAACACCTAAACCAAAAATATAAAAGCATTATGATCAGACCCGATCTAACCCGGGTCCCGATCTCTACTGAAAAGTATGATATACGTGTCAAAATACTAAAACTTTTTTCATACATAGAGCCTATGAATAGAATCAATTTTTTTAAAACTTATTGCTCACAGAATTATATTATATATTATATTATATCACCCGCATTATAAGAACTTGGATATTATATGTTTAAATGTATCATACATTACTAAGTACGAGTATATAGTTCATATGACTATATGAGAATACTAGTAAAGTTTATTTCACTTAACGTGGACACGTTGGGACCAAATTTATTTGCACACATTAAGTAGGCCGTATAAACCAAAATTAGTTATTACCTATACATTGGAATTTGGACCATATACATAATAATATTGCCCATATTATGCGGAGGCCCTTCTGATATACGACTAATATCTAAAATTACTATAAATCTTTATTATCCTTGTAAAAAGCTCTAAAACTGTTATAGGTCATATTAATAACCTATTCATTTATCATATTCAAGTGTTGAAAAAATAAATAAATCTATTAGGTACATTCAAATTATTTTTTGCTTAATAAACAATTATTTTTACAAGTTGTTATATATGTAATACATTTGTATATAAATATAGAGTATATAGTACGTATATATTAAATTTCAAAAATAAAATTTTATTTTACGTCATCCAAACTATTTTTCCCTACCTGCAAATATGGATTGTCATGTCTAGAGATTTTAAGTGCCTCCATGTCCTGGAAAAAGTCTCTAGATCTGGGCATAGAAAGAGCAGGAGATGCAGGACACGAATTTCTTGTTTTCACGGACATCGATGTTGCTATACAAACTTCACTTTTACTTAGCTGCCTGGCTAYACATACATATAAATGGTGTGCGAGTTGATTAATTTAATTATAATTTGATAATTATTAATTTATATATTTAAATTACCTTTTAGTTTTTGTTTTTCTGATTTCTTCCATCGGAATAGACCATTGAACAACTTCAGTCGACTATCGCTGTGGCTGTTCTCTCGGGCTGCCKATAAATAAGGCATTGCCGATGATTAGCCGCATTACATGAAAACAGTGAATGTTGTTATCTGCAAATAAGTCGTTTCGTTTCGTAAATCTAAAGTAACAGCAGGCACTGTGCAAAATTTGAATTAAACCTTCAATAGATATAAGTAACGGAAATAGAAGTTCGATTATATCATATACATTATAATTTATAATATTTATGGTGCATGTAGGTATGTATGACATGTATGCATTAGAAATATTAATTCGTTTGATAAGATAATATTTTAAGGTTTTGTCGTATATGACTATTCGTATGTAAATAATAAAAGCGCTCGACATAATATAACATAGATATTTTATTGCTATTACCTATGTTAAGTTAAAGGTTATTTTTACGTTAGTTAAGACTGCAGGTAGTTCAATATTATTAACAGGATAACATATTAATACATTTATAATACTTTATTGACTATTAGTGTTAATATTTTTATAAAATACATACACACAATGATACAATATAAGTAAACTGATACATTTATAATTGTATACACTAAATATAATATATTTGTATTGGGTACATAATATACGCAAAGAAAAGATTTGTCGGGCTACATATGTTGCTTATAAAGTTATAAATGATTCTAAGTACTTACTAGGTAAATTAATATGGAAAAAATGTGAGTAGTAATACGAAAATATTACGAGATAGTTGCACGAATACGTATATATTTTATGTAACCTACCTATTATTTTAACGGGTTTTTTTAAGTATATATATTGTTTTATTTATTTTAAACGCTTTGTATAATATCGTACACATTCTGCTTTTCTAACTTAAATCTTTTGAAACTTTTCTGTGTATTAGGCAATTAGGCTAATACAAAATAAACTAATATTAAATATTTAACTCATTAAATATAGTATATGTTTATATTCTATAATACTATACATATAAATTATTATGGTTTTTTTTTATTAAATTACTCTTCAATGGGATATGAGTAAATACAATTAATAAAAACACAATACTTAAGATAATGTTAAAGACATAAGTAAATCTCCACACAATTTAATATTTTCGTGATATCCACCGCCACGGTTAAAATTAATATATAATATAATAATAAGATGATTACAGATTAATAATAACAAATCAAACTGGCAAATACAGTTTTATAATAATATAAAATATATATTAGGTATTAACTTTACTTATTAATTTATTTTAAATGATGATTCTAACTTAAAAGTTTCTATTAGCAAATAAAATGGCATTACATGAAAAAATGATAAACAAACTTKAAAAAAATAATATTGGTAGGTATACTCTGTAAACTGTATGATATTTCTATTTTCTACCTTAATTTTATGAATTTTGTTGCAATATTAACTGAAAATTATATATATAAGCAAATATAGTTTTGAATGTAGTTGTTAAAATATATTTATTTTTTAGGTAAACAATTTAAATTATTTTGTAATTGATATGATCTTAATTCTAAATAAAATAAAAATAAACTTTTTATAAAATAACTTTTATTTTTTATCTTGACCATTTATTTTGTAATTCATAACCTATAGACATTTATTAGCATGTATTTTCTGCATTTCCACGTGTAAGCAGTTGAAACTTGTAACATACAAACCCGTATTGTTTATAATATAATTTTGACATTGACATACTTCTGGTTTCACTCTGCTTAAACGATTATTTATACGTACTAAATTATTTACATTTAGTATAAACTTCTGAAAGTTTCTGTAATTAGTGTTTATATAAAAGTACATAGTACCTAAATATAAACCTATGCTATAAATATATTGTTTGTATTTTTTAGTGTTTTAAGTATATTTTTTATCGAGGTAATAAAATAAAATATTTATAAATCATGTCAATAAACGTAAGTTAAAATCTAAATAAATTCATAATATTATCTTATTTATCTTCTATCAAGTATTTAAAAATTAAAATTATTAATTGCAAATATAATTTTGTATTACAAATTACAATAGAAATGCATTTGTTTAAATTGTTTGAATGAAATTGAAAGATCCATAATAATATAGATAAGATAAAATTTAAATCATAAATTAAGCAGTTTAAGAATGTAGGTATATACTTTTATTTATAAAAAAAAAAAAACTTCATCTTATGTTTTGATATTTTTATGTACACAACGTATTTAAACATATATGATATATATTCCATAATTCTATACACATTAGTATAAGTTGTATAGTGAGGACTGAGGAGATGAACTYAGTCTCCTTAAAATCTAAATCCAGTCTCAAGCAGGTGTTTTATTTGTACATTGTTTTTTGAATTTAGGAATAAAGCTAATATTAGATAGGTAGTCTAGTAACTAATTACGCATTTTATTTTCGTAATACTGTATATCTGATAAGTAGTAATAGTTATATTGTACAGATATTATTTTACTGTCTAGTTAATTTCGTGTAAGTCATGTGGTTGACACGTTACCATTATATGGGTAAAGAATTCAACTATTTCACCGAGTGGTTATTAAATGTGGTGATTAATGTTTAGTTTTAACATTTTTTATCAAAATAATATTATTTAATTTTGTGTATAACAAGACAAACGTGTACACCTTTTATTTTTAGAATTATTGGTTTAGCACTTAGGTATAATGGTCATTATTATAGTTATTTGAACGCTTAAGAGGACGTTTCACCCGCATGTGTTGTCTCCGTCTTACAAGTGCGTATAACATTGCAAAAACTGTTTCGCGCGGRAAAGAACCGAGAAAGATACAGTAATAACTAAGAAACGAAATTTTCACCACATAAAGAGGAGAATTTTGTCTGTGCAATACCGTTTTTATTTTTTGATATCAGAACTACAAAAAAAGTTATTCATGCTTAAAAAACATAAAATCAATGTACCTATTATAAAACAATAAGAATTTTTTTTTTGTATAAGTGATATCGAAAAAATAAAAACGATATTGCACAGACAAAATTCTCCTTTTTATGTGGTGAAAATTTCGTTTCTTAGTTATAACTGTATCTTTCTCGGTTCTTTCCCGCGCGATACAGTTTTTGCAATGTTACGCACTTGTAAGACGGAGACAACACATGCGGGTGAAACGTCCTCTTAATGAATAAGGATTACAAATATAATATATATGTGTTAGTAATACAATGCTAGCGCACTACCTAATCATAATAAGTTATGTATAATGTGTGACTTTTACACTTACGTGAATGATAATAATAGTAAACTAATGAAGAAAAAAATTGGGTACGTAAAATTATATATGTATTTACAATTAGTATTGTCTTCCTAAGAATATAAACTTAATAATTAATACTATACTACTATAGGCTATAGCAACATATATTAATGTATTATGTAATTAATTGAGGCTCATACAGTCATACTTAATCTTACTATTAGTAACTTACCTTGTTATTCGATCAACAATATAACTAAACGCAAAATTAATTAAAAATAACATACTACAACACTAAATAACAAACGAATATGAAATAAATATTAAATGTTTGCACATCGCTATTTTTCTTTCTGATTATCATACATATCAGCTGTAGACATGGAAATCGATTTCTACCAGCCCTCTTTTCCTCGTCTGAGTGTAAGTTTTCCTAGTTTTCCCGCGGGCGCCATATTTACAGTGCTTCCACAAATAAAATACTAAAATAACCTACGTCCTACATGATGTATTATTACGTAAAAATATAARCACTGGAGTATATGCAATCTGTAAAAGTACAAAATTAAATTATATACCTATACTTCCTTCCCACAGTATGCCATTCTAAATGTTATTATTTTATTGATATTTTAGTTCCTAAGCATACTGCATACTGCATACTGCATAATCGATATAACAATATAGTCAACAACGAATGCCTACTAATAAACCTACAGCTGGTAGTTATATTAATATTAATACCATTAAACATAATAACATTAAGCAAATATTTATTTATACCTTTAAATATTGTATAATTGTATCAATAACCTATTTATAGACCTATACCATAATACATGATACATATAAATATGATAAAACAACTGATGCTGAACTACGAATTGGGTAATACCGCAATCGATTTTATTTTACTATAATGCCTAGGTAGAAATAGCATGTAACTTTATTACTAACATGTATACTAAAGCATTTTACTTTATAATACACCTATACTTGTTACTGTAAATTGTCAATAATATGTTTMGGGGAAATTTATCGTTTTTTAATTTTTAAATAATAAATTTTAATTATTATGATTATAATCGCATTTTTGTATCTAAATTTTACGTCTGTTGTATAAAATAATATATGTGTAGTTTTAATCTTAAAATGTTTGTCCACAATCCACAATAGATAATTCAAAATTACAAACACTAAGATTGAGATAAAAAAAGGGGAAGGAGGTATAAGTGTTTAACCGCTTTGCTTGTATAGTAGGTACTTAGGTGCACAGTGTACCTTGTCATTGTAAGTCATTGTAATGTAGATATTGTTGAATTTTAATTTAATCATAAATCATTTTTTCAATATGAAAAAGATTATGAGCAAAGACAGTCGGCCTAAGTTTATTTTATGAATTATGGATGTAATTAATTATATTGTTACTATATAATAATTTATTTTGCTATTAGTCATACTTAAGGTTAAATTAATTTTTGCAGATAACATGGGATTTGTTATATTTAATTATTATGCATAATAATATATTGTTTATTTATCACATATTACTTATATTATATATATATTAAATATATTTTATTAGCTTTTAGTCTGAGACTGACAGCTTGAAAATTATAYAATTATATTATCATATTATATTATTGTTATTTTTGAGTCAGTATACCGAAATAATACTGCCTCATATGGACCATATGGTATTTATATAGACAATACGTATAACTTAAAATTAATATAAATGTTTTAAAAAATTAATTGATTATAATATTAAAATAAAAAAGTTTAAAGTATCCACAAATATAATTTTTGAATTACAACATAATAACTAAAATTATTAGTTATAACTCGCGTTATTCTTTGTTTAAATATCTAATTTTGTCCAAATTTAAACTTTAACTATCTGTAAAATAAAAATAGTGCTTATAATATATTGTTTAGTATTATGAATAACTAACCATMCTCTATTAAATCCAAGCCTTATAGCTATAAAAATGTAATGTTTAATAMATTTTCATTTTGTTTGTTTTGAAGAGTTTTGTCAATATTTGAACTTCAAATTCAAATGCTTATATATATTAAAACTCTATGTTGTCATTCAAAAAAGTAAAAAACTTAAAAAATGATAAGGATAACAAATATTTAAAAATATAATTTTTTAATAAAAACGTTGGTTTTTTAACAA